CTAAATAGAGGATTTACGGTAGGCAAAGTGTATAGACGTTTTCAGACCAAAACCGCGCAAAAACCCTACCCGATGGGGCGACATATACCTATATAGCTTATAAGGGAGTACCCCGCGGGTATAATTGCTTTCTTCATATTTTTTGGGTTTCGTAACAAAAATCAAGTTAAATGAAAAGGTCGGCCAAGTTTACAATATTACATCAAAAACTCAAAGCAAATTCCTAGAAGACGTGTTAACTAATTGTTTGATATTTTTTGACGTCAAAACATCTACTTTTTCAACTACAAAAGGCGGAACGGCACGTACAACAATTGTCACTTGAAAGATGGCTCCAGCATGTCTCGATGCGTCAAAAATATTTCATATTATATATATATATATATTTTTTTTTTTGTTAGAAAAGGATAAACACATGTTTAGTTCGAAATTGTTGTTCATTTATACTTTATTGGTTCCGAGATGCTTTCAAGAACAATATTTCGAAATCAAGCCTGATTGAATTCTTTCGTTTTCGGTAATGGTGACTCAGTCACAAAAACCCATCCTTTGTTCTGTATATTTTACCTAAATTAAATGTGCATGGTGTCAGAGATGGAATTTGCAACCGAGATTTTAGCGATATGGTGCATGAGATGATCCTGATAAGCAGTGGAGTGATTAATTGCGGTGCAGTTTAATTGCTCATCAAGATATTAAGCCAATTAACTCTGTTAATTATAAAGGACACTACTAAACATGCTGACCACCCTAATTTTCTTGTATAGCCCGTCAAAATTACTCTTCATGTACAAAACATACTATCAAAAGAACGTGTCCTTGATATCTCGGGTGATATCCCAACCAAGACCCTGTCAGGTTCACCCAGAGGCTGTACTAACCCTTGGTCTTTATGGATGGTTATAGTTCCGTGATCACAAGTTTATTTCTCAATTCAGAGGAGCCGCTCAATTAGCCGAGCACAGACAAAACTTTTTCTGAATCGTCTACAGTAATTTCGACCACAATCCCATTTTTGGGCGGTGATTGTTAGTCAATAATCATCCCTTATGATAATCACTGCATAAGTGAAATTTCTTCTCTATCCTGACAAAATCTCATGGTGTTGCTTAAAAATTTATTTTTTCAGATTTCAGAAAACTTTAGGCACTAATACCAGTTAATAATATTGAACCTCAACTAGGCGAACTCCTCAGTCATGTAAGTTGTAAACAATAACTTTTTTCTCTCCCACGCGAAGGAAATATCTAAAATTCAAAAATGATAATTCGCCATAAAAATTTACTTTAGACTATGGAAACAATAGAGCCATTTATACGAGGAAAAATAAGACGCGTCTTACATAAGACGCGTCTTAAATAAGACGCGAACTTTCTGTATAAACGGCACATTTCGTCTAAAATATAAAGACGCGGCTTAGCTAAGACGCGTCTTATTAGATAAGACATGCTCGTATAAATGGTACAGTTCGCGTCGTACGCGTCTTATTTTTCCTCGTATAAATGGCCCTAATATTTGCCACGAGTTTGCCTTGTCCTCAGCAACACAGGATATCAAACCCTTTTCAAGTTGAAACACGCTTTTTACCCAAGTAGGGAGGGCAAAGTACGATTTTACAATTTCTCTTGCCATGTCCTTGGCTTTCCTTTTATAAACATCCGTTTGCGTCAGGACCATGGGTCGCCAAGTATTTTTCAAGTTGTGATCACCTAAGCCAAATAGTCTTGTCACCGATTGACAGATTTTGAGGTGGGTCAAAATGCCTCCTCTCCCCACCCTAAAAGCTTTCCTTTGCAGAAAGTTTTCGTCATCCGTAACGATTGTTTATTTACTCGGCTCTTGTTTCATGCGCGCAGTATCAAGGGAATTTACAGGAACAATTCATAGATTACAGATGAGGCTTTGTCCGCGTGTTAAATAGTTGTACTTACCGTCGAACGCGCCATTTTATACTTTGACCGCCTTAACGAAGAATCTCAAACACTCTGAGGGCATATTCCAGATTGTAACAACTGTTTTCGACTCTCACTTGAAGTCGATCGCGTGAAGCCATGAATTTCGCAACCAAGATCTTCATCGTTCTGACTGTCATCTGCTTGTCTGAATTTAGTCAAGCAAGACGAGGTAAGTTAGCTCAGATTGACTTCATTTCCTCTCCTAAAATCTTAGTTAAAAGAACTTAAATATTTTGTATTTACCACGTAGGAATTTCATTGATTTTTGCCTCCGGAATTTCGGTGGGTGAATGTAATGTTACGAATCTCTGGACTTTTTCCCTCTCTCGCGTTCAACCACAACAAATACCACAATTAGGCATGTTCGTTTTATTGAATCGCTCAATTCATTGAAAAACATATGTGTATGCTGTCAATAGATTTCATGAGACGTAATTGCTGTAAACTGTAACCTTTCGAAATGGCGCGCAATGGGTTTTTTTTGTGAACGTGATTTACATTATCATTAAATGAACAGCGGGCCTGAGACAAAAGGTTTGAAGTTCGTGTATTGTTAGAGTTGATCTGGCATAAATATATTCATCCTTTTATTAAGCGAAAGACCTCAGTTATATGGGTTTTGAATAACATCCAAAACACAAAAAAAATGAAAAATAAAAGCTTATTTTTTTGTGTGTGTGTAGGAGGAAAGCATCGCAAGAATCCGGAAAAGTCGAACACGTCAAAGCTGGATGTGCAGAATGCGGTCAATGGATCGGTAGCTATTGGGGCAGAGCATGTAAACTCAACAGTTAGTCCGTCGACCGGTCCTCGCCGTCCACAGAAGGTGAAAAGTAATGTGCTACGAAAAATGTCGCATAGGCGCCACATGGAGAAACGCTGTTGCAGAATCGGCTACCGTGCTGCAGAACGGAGGCTTTTTTGTAGAGTGGATCGACAGTACAGTTCAAAATACCGGAATATGATTCATTATGCCAGGCAAAGATTTCAATATACTGGTAAGCCGTCGCGTGGAATGCAACGCCTTATCCAGCAATTTGAACGGCACTGCCTCAAACCCCAGCTAAAGGGAGTGTTCTACAAGTGCTGTCTTGACGGAATCTACTCGGTTCTCCCGAAAGGCGGACAGTAAATTTTGATAATTTACTGTGGAAAAATGTGGACTAGTTCATGTAAATATGTTTTTTTTTTTTTTTTCAGTTAAGGTCTTTTTTTATTCAGTTTAACTTTCTCTTTGGGCAAGATGTCTGGGCATGAATGTAGTGCCATTTAGCTAAATTTTTTTGCAAAATAAACTTGTAGGGTGCTGTCTGGTTTACGAGTATCGCATTTCAGGAATTTTAGAGAAGCACTGGTGTATATATATGTCTAGAAAGCCCTGTGCGTGCTTTGTGCCTTGGAGAAACACATGAACTTTGTCCTATCTCTGTCGGAATGGTATTTATGTTGGGAAAGTGAATAGACAGATAATAATCTGGAAGTCAAAAATTGTTAGATCACAAAGCAATTTTCGTGGGATTTTTTCGATAGAAACTTTATTTTTCGACCTATTTGCTTTTTGTAGAGGTGTAAAAGGAAAAATAACATAATATTCATTTGTTCATATTGGCAAACGATATTTTGGAAGAGGAATATAATGTTTATGTGTTGAAATTTATTTTGTCTTTTTGATATGATCAGCTGTAAATCAGTGGCTTAAGGTTGTAAATAAAGAATTTTTATCTTCTTTCAATGAATGTGGAATGTTACTATGTTTCGGCATGTCAAGTTATTTGGGTTATCACGCGGTCTCTTGACCATCGTACTCCCTAATTGCTATAACATTTAGAGTAGGTGAAAAGTTTCACGCTTGTCGAGTGTACTAGTATACTCTCATAACCCTCCTGATACCCTCAAAAAGGGGATGAAGGAATAACCCTCTAAATGTAGCGATCGGATCGTAAGTTTTGTAAGCATGAATTGTTTGTCAACTACATAATGAAGCTAGAAAACAGTGAACCTAAACGCTTTGGAACTGGTATTACTCACATGAAATACTATTCATTTAGAACCTTGAGCTATGTCAAGCTGCGGGCTCTTTTAACCTTTTAGTACTCCGACTTTTCTTCAGGCATCCTAGACTACGTTTAATTGAAAGGCAAGGGAGCAAAACCAGCCGTAGAAAGTATGATCCCTCTCCATTTAATTTACCCCTCTCTTGTATATCCTCGAAACTACAAACTTGTTAAGAGGACTGCTGAGATAGTTTTTGGGAAACAAAGCTTGGGTTAATTCAGTTTAGTTGCTCCTTACCGGCTGTTGTTACCGCCAAATCTGTTTCTTTAAATACAAGGCGGTGAAGAGCGCGGGTTTTGACACCGAGTAATAGCTTTCCAAGTCGTCGTGTAAGGTGTAATCAGGAGTAATTAATCCTAACTGCATTGCTTCATTTCTTGAAAATTTAACATAAAACTGAAAGAGGTTTTAATTACTGCCTCTTTTGAGTTACTTTAGTATTCCCAATCATGGATAACGGCGTAATCTGTAAACCAAGCACGTAGACTCTGCTGTTTTCAATCGAAATGGGCACAGTTAATTTATTACACTTCAAATTGCACGCTTTTTCATACACACGAATAGATCGATTCAGGGAAAATAAAAGATAACCGGTTTTTAATATTTGCATAGTAAATCCCGGTATGCCTGCCCATATGTAGCAATATTTAATCCCTGTTGATTCATATTTGATTTGGACATGATTTCTTTAAAATTTAAACCTCGTATCTAAAATTTATTTAAATTTAAAAGAATTTCTTTTAATCCTTAGGAAATTTCATTTAAACTTCTCACTGAAATCCATTTAATCTTCGATTAAATTATGGTTTAAACAGTTTGACATTTTCGTTTAATTCATTCTATCCATTTAAATTTAAACTTTGGAATTCCCATTTAAAATTGTCTGAAAAATGTCTTTTAAACTGCTGAATTCTAACTTAATCCTTTAAATAGAAACGTTAACAAATTTCTTTTAAACTTACCAATGTAAATTATATTTAAACTGCGAAAGTAAATTTCATTTAACCTTCCTGGGGCGAGCTCGGCCGGGATCACGTGCTCAAGTCACATGGCAAGGTCACATGTCGTATCCTCGGCTGCCATTTTTATCGGCAGTAGAAAGTGTGGACGCAGGAACGAAAGGAAGAGTGAGCGAATTACTAAGCAAAGCGTCAAGGCTTCTGTCTTCCAGCACCTCTTCTAATGCTTCTTCAAATTCCACTCGTCTAGCTGCGATACCGACTAGTTTTGAAAACTAGTTAGCTTTAATTTGTACCCTTATTCTTCTGATTGATATTCTTCAATTAACATCTATTGTCTAATTACCAATCAAACTCCTGCGTTGCTGGTACAACGCGTTCCGTAAACACGAGCTGCAGTGATGTTATTACAGTCCCTCTATTTTTCTCGCCTCCCTCCCCCTAGAGCTACATGTATAATCTCCGACGTCCGCCCCCTCGGTCATTTGAAAATCAAGATGGCCGCCATTAACTGTAAGACACGCTATATCACAACCGTGATCTCACGGAAAAATAGGGGACTGTGAACAGTCTATTTCGCTCAGCATCCCCTGAGCACGCCTGAGAGTTTCGTTGATTATCGCCTACGGTATCGCAGCTTGACGAGTGGAATTTGAAGCAGCATTAGAAGAGGTGCTGGAAGACAGAAGCCTTGACGCTTCGCTTAGTAATTCGCTCACTCTTCCTTTCGTTCCTGCGTCCACACTTTCTACTGCCGATAAAAATGGCAGCCGAGGATACGACATGTGACCTTGCCATGTGACATGAGCACGTGATCCCGGTCGAGCTCGCCTCAGGAAGGTTAAATGAAATTTACTTTCGCAGTTTAAATATAATTTACATTGGTAAGTTTAAAAGAAATTTGTTAACGTTTCGATTTAAAGGATTAAGTTAGAATTCAGCAGTTTAAAAGACATTTTTCAGACAATTTTAAATGGGAATTCCAAAGTTTAAATTTAAATGGATAGAATGAATTAAAAGAAAATGTCAAACTGTTTAAACCATAATTTAATCGAAGATTAAATGGATTTCCGTGAGAAGTTTAAATGAAATTTCCAAAGGATTAAATGAAATTCTTTTAAATTTAAATAAATTTTAGATACGAGGTTTACATTTTAAAGAAATCATGTCCAAATCAAATATGAATCAACAGGGATTAAATATTGCTACATATGGGCAGGCATATCCCGGAAAGACACAATAGGTATATCGGTGTGATGATTGCATGGGGGCCGTCGACATTCACTTTTCCAGATCCCTCGCTTAACGTCAACTGGTCGTTAGATGGGAGAGGGTAAGGCAGTGAACGTTAGTGCGGGGTTTTTATGAACAAAAGTAAACTGATGCATTTTGATATAAAAATTTTAGGTGTGTGGAAAAGCGCTCGTGACACCATTCAAGAGAAAGCAGGACCAATTAAAGAACTGAGTGTAAATGGTGATCTTTTATTAAAACTCCGTCTACTAGCCGAAATTGTACATTTTATAAGTCTATACTGAAGTGATGCAAAGCAAAATTTCAAGTGAACGTCCAGTTGACGTGGGCGGCGGGGGAAAAGTGAATATGTCGACAGCCCCTCGAACGAATCGTGAATGAGTGAATGATAAATTCGTCTTGTGAAGCTTTGGGCTAACCCTTTTTTAGTTTCGATGAAACAAGAACATGCAATCTAAATGGTGCAAAGAAAAACCTGCATCTGTGTCTCCGTGTTTCGATTCGAACAAAAAGAGAATGAGGTATTCATGTTCGAACCTACAGCCTCAGCTCCCATCACACCGTTTGGTAGCCTGAGTAGAGCCTCCCCCACAGGCTAATGTGTAGGGCGCTCCGGCCGAACCAGCCCCCTTGAGCTCTAACGGAGTTCACGATACAAAACTTATGCATTCTTACTGCGGTCCATGTGTTACATTTTTCTCACAGCGAATTGAGGCGTGACTTGAATGTACTTTTCCTCTTTTGTCCCCCGGCCACTGCAATTTTTCCCTACTTCTGCTGAAGACCTTACCATAAAAGCTAGGTTTTTTCAAATAGTATTGAACAACTACACCTCCTGTAATTTGTTTTTAGTTTACAAAGTTGAAACCGGTTCATGAAGTGGTGAAATTGAACGACAAAAAAAGATGTCGTAGGCTCCCGCCTCCCGCCCAAACTGACATGTGATGGCCTCGAGCATTTGTTGCTATGCTCATCATGCCACATGGCCGGGCGCGCACGATTGTTCCAAAAAATCTGTTTTTTGCTCTGCGCCGGCATGCAAGAATATCAAGAGCTTTGATTGGTAAGCTCAAGGTGGTTACGTGAGGTAGGTGTTTTCTTCGGGACTGTCCGCGTTATTTCAGTCGCCGATAAAATGAGAAATTGATCGGCATGAAAAACTGATTAAATTCAGAGAAGTAGTGATGGAGACTGAATCAGTTTAGCAGTCATAATGAGAGACTTTTTCAAGGTCTAAGGACAAGACACATTTCAACGCACCATACACCTTTCCTTTTCTCCACTCCCCTTGTAACTAATTTAAATCAATTAATCATCGACTGACAAAGTCTCCTTGAGCATGTACTCGATTTTTGGTCACGATCCCCCGAGAAGATAATAAAAGCTGTTTTCTTCTACGGCCATGCATTTTAATTCTAAAAGTTGCATAAAATTTTAAGGAAACTTCCTATCGAGGTGTTGAATTCTGTAGGATTGAACTGATTTTGTCACGTGAAACGTCATGTCATAATAATATTCAAAATAAAGTTCTTACTGGGGTTGGAATTGTTAATTACATTTAAGTGAGCCTGCAGAGCAAGATTTTTTTTTTAACGAAAACGCGACCCAGAGGTATCTTGATTGCGGCCGCCAACATGAAAGGAATCATTTTTTTAATCGCCCCCAACTCTCTGTCAGTTTAAACGTCCAAATCGCTCACAATGCAAAGTACGGCTGCTTTGCAGGCTACAGTTTGTTTTACCGTAAGAAATTTCAGTCTGCGGCCGGAACGAAGAGAATTTTTTTATTTCTTAAAATGAACAGATGAAAAGTTTCACGTGAACTATTCTGCTTAATTATTAACTAAATAAAAAAACGAGTTAACCATTCCGGCCAGATTCATGCGAGGAACAATGATAACAATACTGTATTTAATATCTAGTGTGTGGTTATCTCGCCACCCCAGTTTTAGTTTTCTCTTCTTTTCTGGATGTTTGACATGTCCATAACTGATCACGTGATACAAATATCTGGTTCTTACATGACAGGGAAATTTTCCGAGGTTTCCAAATTTTGGAAGCCGCTCTGGTAAATTTTCACAAAGTAATGATTATTATAAGCCCGGCAAATTAGGCTCAGGCCATGCCTTTACATGCTTGATTTCCTTTCTGCAGTCTCTTTTCTCTTATAGTTATTATCTATCCCGGGATCTTGCGGATTAAGATCAGCAAGCAAAATATCCATCGACATGCTGCTCAGGAGTGAAAATAGCGCCGTTACCTCCCAGAGTACAGGCCACGAATAATAAAATATATGAAAAAAGAAACCTTGCTATAGCAAACAAATTTTACCACCAGCCTTGGCCCTTCGTTATACCGAGTCGAGGTTCCACTGTTAACAAACTTAACAAGGTTAATAGTGATACATCCAAAAGCGAGCGGAGTATTATAGATCATATATTCTATTATGACTTCGTTACGTATATATAGGTTAAGGCACTCTTTTCACTCCTGAACAGTGTCGATGGATATTTGCTACTGGTCTTAATCCGCAAGATCCCGGCATAGATAACAGAAAAGTGCACAAACGTGCCCCCCAGTTTCAAACGTTTGTAAATTTCCGAGCCTTTGCGATTGCGGAGCTATATCTTCGCCAGTTTTCAACAAATCACTTTTCTCCTCATGACAGATTTGGATTCTGGATTCCGCGCCGTGGATTACGGATTCCAAGCAGGGTCTTCTAAATTCTCTGTCAGTGGAACTTGGATTGGGGATTCCAATCATTAACTAAAGGGAATCCGGATTCCTTGAGCTTTATTCTGGATTCCAAAGCCCAGGATTCCGGATTCCACAAGCACAAATTTTCCTGATTCTGCATTCCACAAGCTAAAATTTCCCGCCTTCGCGAACCCGAATTGCACTCGGCATTTAATACATAGGGAGACACTTTCGAAATTGGCAACTTTACTAATCTTGTGCGCTTTTTTTTTTAGCTGTGTTGATGGAATTTGGCTAACTTGTGTATTTAACCCATGTTAAAAATACTCGGAGGCCTAGCCAAATTCTTAACCTGCGCTGGATTCCGACATAGTTGACGAGCGGCAGTTTGGGCTTTCTAGTTCGTCCGAAGGGCCGGCAAGCTGCAACCGCACATGCAACTTTCAGTTTTTCGGCCAGCAACTGATTTGGGAACTCGCCCCATCCCCCTTCCCTAACGGTTATCATGAGGGCCATGAGATTAGGTAGCTATTGGATTTTCTTTATAATTCAGATTTTACCTTCAAGATCAGACAGTCTATTTAACTGAGCAGTTTTTTTGGAGACAGATCATGCCATCAGGTCAGTTAGATGTTTGGAAGGTATTACAAAAAGCAAAGTGCTACGTCTTGAAAGACTTTTAATTAAAAGGAGTGATCACCCAAAAATTGTCGACCGCCTAGAAAAGAGGGTACATGCTGAAATTATACAGGGAGTTCGCCAGGAAGTTTGAATGGGAATTTTCTTTTACTGATCATTCCTATTATTTATAGTGCTATCCTTCCTTTGCTTCTACGTATGAAAACTCCATACTTATAATTATACTTTTCTGGGGACCAATGTTTTCTGTTTGGTGACTGTAGCTCTGTAGCTCTGTGCTGAAGAGAGGACATCAGAAAGAGCGTGTTTAAAACATGGTATGACAAAATGGTGAAAATGAAGAAATGATGAAATCGCAAGATGACTAAAATTATTTACAAATAATACATATTAAATTTTCTTTTACTGGGTTTTCTCCCTACAATTCAGTTGGTGGAGTTGCTTCTCGACCCCACAACTCTCTCCTTTAGCTACTAAAGTAACCAGCCTTTGAACAGGCTCTCTGTTTGGGAAAAGGTCGCACAGCGGTATTTCGTGAGAAGTGGAAAAGACTGGAAACTAGGAAAAGAAAAATGGCGGCCGCAGAAACGTGATCGTACGAACTACAGTTTACAAAGGGAAGATGCAGGTTTCCCAGCCCAATAATGTTAAGATCTACAACCTTTCTGCCGGAAAATCATTGCCAGAGGTATTGAAGAAAGGCTTTTGTTATATTTTGTTCATTTAGAAGCAGTTTGTGCTTGTATTAAGATTTTGCACGTGCTAAAGTAAGGCATACATTTAGCTATAGTCAATGATCTGGAGCTACGTACACTTCGTTTCTTTTCTCTTTCTGGCTGGACTTTTGCATCATTGTTTGAAAATTGAAATTTTTTCTTTTCTTTTCTTTTTTTTAGTGGCTTTCTGAACGAAAGAGGCGGACATTGCAAAAGAATGATATTAGTAAGTTTTAAAGTCATGCATAGAGTCATCTGAGAAAATTAATGTAAACTTAATTTAAGCTTAATGGTTTTCTGTATTGAGCAGCACTCATAAAGATAAAGAAAGGAATTTCATTGACCTTAGTGGACATGGTAAAATTATAAGACCTCATTTGTATCTTCAACTTAGGAGCAAAACTTCAAGTCAGGTGGTAATTCTGCTTACCTTTGCCACTGAAAACAATACTTTTCCTGTTGTTGTTTTTTGTTCCCCGATTGTGATGCTTTGGAGAAACTTGTATTTTCATTATTAGATATCAGAAGAAGAATTGAGCTTCTTCAAGATTTTGAGATGCCAATTGCTTCTACAAATATCCTTGTTTCTTCAGACAAACAGTACATTATGTCATCAGGTGAGGTTTGGCCAGGTTGTCATAAATTCAAAGATTCAATTTCTCCCTAACTTTTTTCTTCGCAAGGTTGATTTTGCCCTTTACCCCTACCGACTGGACAAGATTACTTTTAACTGTTCCCCACAAAGTCCTGGCCCCAGTTTTTCAAAAGCTGGAGAGCGCTATATCCACTGGATAAATCACCATCCAACAAATAAGTGTTAGGGAAACCACTGGATAGTGTTATCCACCTTTTAAACAACTGGGGCCAGGGGTTTCCCATTGGGGATGGTAATAGCTACATTCATTACATTGATAAACTTGAACCATTTAAAACCTTTGTGTTTCTTGGTGTTTTGGAAACCATTGTAAGTTGGTGTTTGCTTTTGTGTTGTGGTGTGGGTATTGTTTATTGTCTTTTCAATCTTTTGTATGACATCATGGGTGATTACACCTGTCGGCAACACCAAGAAACTACCTAAAAACTTAAGCCTTAGTGCTTTAAGTTATTGTGACCCTTTTAGTTCAATTATAGCAAAAAAAGTGGGGACCAAAATTGCTGTGAAAATTGCCATTTTGGCGTAGTGTGTTCTGCTCTACGATTATGTGTCAAGCAGCAATGTTTTTATTGCTTTGTGGTTATGGTCCTTTTAAGTTTTCTGTGAGATCATGCACCCTTAAAATAATAATTGCATGTCAAATTTGATTGAAGTACCAGTAGTTGGTAAGGCATTTCCAGTGTTTCTCTTTAACTCATGATGTACTATTTTATTATACTTTTCTGGGGATTAATATTTTCTGTTTGGTGACTGTAGCTCTATAGCTCTGTAGCTCTGTGCTGCAGAGAGGACATCAGAAAGAGCGCGTTGAAAACATGAAATAACAAAATGGTGAAAATGAAGAAATGATGAAATGGCAAAATGACTAAAATTATTTAGAAATAATACATATTTCATTTTCTTTTACTGGGTTTTCTCCCTACAATTCAGTTGGTGGAGTTGCTTCTCGACCCCACAGCTCTTCTCTGTTTCGCAGCCATAAGATCTAGAGGCTCTGTTGACGAGATCGTTGTCAGGCAGACCTTGTGTGATGTGTGTGCGCAAGCTCATCATATGCGCCGAAAATAGCTCTTTCGTGGGAAAATTAACTGAAGTGTCAGCGGTGACATCGAGCTGGCGGAGTGTATTACAAAGTGAAGCTACAACTGTTACGTATGTGAGGATGGGGAAGTAAAAAGTCCATACTTGAAAAAAGGATTCTAACAGCTCTCCAAATAAATAGGGTGTATAATTTTGTGTGAGTCTGTCCTAATTATTTTATTATCAACAGGGTATTGCATGCACAATTGATTTGATTTGCTTTGTTTACTCTACTAACCCCTTGTAACTTCTACAAAGGCAATGACCAGAAGTGAATTTGCCCTGACTAATGCAATTGCCAATAAATGGCTTTAAAGGAAAACAATGGCATTTTGTCCTTTTTCCTAAACAGGGTAATAAAATTGAGGGTGTTGTCCTAAACAGGCTATGTATTTTTAGGATTTTTTGACCTAAGCAGGGTTAGGGTTTCAAAATTTTAGTAGATCACCTACCCTGGGAATGAGAAAGATCATGTGACTCTAACTAGTCACAAACAGAAATTGACTGTACTGCAATGGCAAAGCAATTTTGATAGGTTTTGTATGCTGAGCAGAGTTTTGCCAGTTCAAAGAAAGCAAAAAAAATAATGACTGGGCTCCAAAAAGGAACAAGTAGTCAGTTGTTTTTACTGTTTAAGAAAGCCATTTCATCACTTTGCCATTTCGTCATTTTGCCATTTTTTGTTTTAAACACGCCCCATCAGGAAGGGCAGGAGAGAATGGGATTTGGCTGTGGTGAAATGCAACCTGGAGAATAAAAAAAATTCTTTTGCTTCCTCTTTCAGTGATTTTGCATTTTGCATTTTGCTCTGCATCTTACCCTTTGTGTGGATGTATACTGGTAAAGGGAATCCATTTTTTCATCTTCCCTTTCTAATAATGATTAACTGGACTAGTACGACTAAGGTGATTAATGCTTTAGTTTAGTGAAATAATAACTCACATTGTTGCACACTCATGAGAATTAACTTTCCATTTTTTCTTAAAAATATATAGGGGTTTACAAACCTCGAGTACGCTGTTATGAAACATCAGAGCTCTGCATGAAGTTTGAACGATGCTTGGATTCTGAGAGTAAGTGTAAAGTCTTTTGCTTCGTTAAAAAAAGTTGTGTGTGTTTACATTGCCAAAGGAGTTCAAATTATAATATTATTGTTGCCCTGAGCTATTAATTTGATTAATTAATTTTTATTGTTCTTTCTTTTTACAGTTGTGAAATTCCGTATACTATCTGAGGACTATTCAAAGGTGATTTTTGTACATGTTAGTTACAGGTCAAAATGAAATTCAGGCTAAAATTTTTTAACCTAGGTTGTTTCTCTATTTTTTTGTTACTTATCCCTAATTATTCATGAATTACGGTCAGGAGGCAAAGAAAATTGGGAATCAACCTAGGCTAAAAAATTTTAACCTGAATATAATTTTGACCTGTATTACAACAGGCTTTATAACTTTTTTTTTTTATTAAAGCAAAGTAAACAAAATGATAATATCAGCACTTAAGTAAAGAAGTGTAGTAAAGATCGAATTGTAGGAAACGCACAAATTTCCGTGTTGTGCAAAACAACTGCATTAATACCCCTGAGTGATAGAGAATAATAATTATTATTTCCTTCAATTTCATTTACTAATTTTAACCTGTGTTTATTTTCATTTAAAACGTCTACCACAAAGATTGGACACTGGCTACACACCTTAAAGTACGTGTCCATACAAAATGTATGTCCCGAGTTCTAAGAAGTAAGAAAGAAAGAAAGAAAGAAAAAACTTGAATTTCTGTTTGTCATGTAAATTAACTCTGGGCAAGTACATGTGACTCTCATATTATTTCGTATTGCCTGGCAGCCATTCCTTGTTTATAATTTTGTTTGAGGATGATGTGCCTGAACCCTTGCCCACTGGGAAAGTCGGTTGTGATTACTTACCCAGCAAGAAAATCTACTCATCCTAGACTGCTACCGGATGGGGCTTTTTTCGTGTCCTTGTATATTATGTTAAAATTTTAGAAGACTAAAAGTATCCATAATAATATATATTGTTCAGTATTTTTAGTTTACTAGTAAACTGATCACTGTTTTTGTGTCAAACAAACAAGTTAAATTATGCTTTTCTAAATAACAGTAAATAATATAGATCATGTACACTGTACTTTTTGCACTAATTGATTATACTTTTTAGTATGGACGGTATTATCGCACCAGAATTCCCAAGTTTGGACGTGATCTTGTTTATCATTACCCATCATGTGATCTTTATTTAGTTGGAGCAAGGTAATCTTAAATAAGTATTCTTCTGATGATTTTTACCACTGTTAGATAATACAGAATTCCCTCCTGGGGCCCGTTTCTCAAAATGCCAGGAAACATTTTGTGCCTGAAGGCAAATAATGATATCCACACCTGTGGAATAGCAGCACAGTTCCTTGTCCATAAGCCACTCAATTTTGCTCTGTTAACTGATAGTTTCATTTCATTATTTTCAAAATTATTGAAACTTTGATCTTGAATGTAAATGTGGCAAACACAAAACTTCTTTCCAGGCCCAAAAAGTTACTGGGACTGTCAAGAAACAGGCCCCTGAATAGAATCAGACAGGTTTTTTTAGATCTGCTAGTAGTTTTTTATTCATTTATCTCACACTGATCCAGGGCTGTCATTAAGAGCTGGGGGCCGGGGATTTCCCCCGGCTACTATGAATGTGGTCCCTGGCTACTTTCACTGGAAAATAGAAGAAAAATAGAACCAACCTTAGCTGTTTGATTCCCCACCTTCTTGTTGTATTTACCCAGCAACTTGAAATCTTAATGACAACCCTGCTGATCCTTCATTTAAAATAGTGTTCACCGTCTTTACCTCAGGCTTGTTGTTTTGATTACATTATTTCATTTGATTGGTTTATAACTATGGTTTATCACATTGTATAATAAATTATTATTAATTTTTTTTAATTTGTAACTCAAAGCAAATTACAGAGTTCATTTTTCAACAGTAGTTCTTTTTATTGTTTAACAGTTCTGAAGTTTACAGATTAAATCTTGAGCAAGGACGATTTTTGAACTCTCTACAGACTAGTGCTGTGTAAGTATCCTTTTACAGTTAATTATATTTGCCATATTACATCTAGACAGTATTACAATATTTATTTTGATTTCAGGGAGATAAACACTTGTGATATTAATCCAGTTCATCAGCTTTTTGCTGCAGGAACAGCAGAGGTACTTGTAATCTTTTTTGATGACTTCATCTTGATAAATAAATAAATTATGTCAAAAAAACTTGGCAAATGTACACCTGTATGGCCATCTAAAATTAAAAACAAGCTTGGTCATTAATACAGTCAAATCTTAATTGGCAATCATGCTCATTCTGGTTTGGTTTAAAAAAACTCTTCACCCTGCAAAAGTTAGCTGGAAAAGTTGTCCTTGACTATTAAAACTGATGACGTCACAAGTTGTAGAGGGGACGTAGTTTCCCACGGGCAGCAGTTCAGGGGCAAATAGGTTAACTATTACTTAATTATTTCTTCCACCCAATTATGCAGTACAGCTGTATATACATCATGTCAAACAGTTTTTTTTGGGCCAAAAATACCCAAAGTACCGGTAGTCATTATAAAAAACTAAGAGTGTTGCAACCATTGCTTCTTTCTCTTCTCCTTCTTTAATTTTTTACTTCTGGCTTTTTTTTTCTCCTTTCCTTTTTTCTTTTGCTAGTGCCATTTTGAGCTTATCGGGCACGAAAAAAGACCGTGACTTTCGGCCATTTTTTACTCAAGTGACTGCAAATTTTGTTAGGTTTTCAAAATATTGGCTAGATCGATACATACTTAAAAATGTTACCTTGTAACTTACACTGAATCAGGTTGTCACTAAGATTTCAAGTTGCAGGATAAATACAACCAGTAGGCAGGGAATCAAACATCTAAGGTTTTCTTTTGGTTCTATTTTTCTTGTATTTTCCTTTGAAAGTAGCCAGGGGTCATGTTCATAGTAGCGGGGGGAAATTCCCGGCCCCTGCCCCTTAATGACAGCCGTGCTGAATGTATTTTCATTGTTTCAGGGCCATGTAGAATGTTGGGATCCTCGATCCCGTAGCCGGGTTGGTGTTTTGGATGTTGGAATGAGTGGACTTGACTTCCAGAGGTACAGAAAACTAGAATAATATTGCATTTACATGTATACTGTATCTCGGTATGTCTCCCATCCTCGGAGACCCAGGGGCAGTCAGTCGGGTCCGGAGAAAAGGCAGGACGAAGGTGGAAGAGCCCCTGGGCACCGACTCTCACCGGACCATTTCCAAAAATTCAAGCGGATTCCGGCTCCTGGCACAAAAAATGGTTTGTATTATTGTGCTCAATCGGTGAACACATCTCCTGAGTTCCTTTCGTCTGTTCGTACACGACGGCTATTGTCTCGCCACACTTGCCCGGTTTGTTCACCAAGCTTGTGTGTGCAAGGGAAACTTTTATTTTCTACTTTCCTAACCAGAAACAAAGGAACTACCGATGAGTCGAAATAACTTTTGGAATGCTATCAGCAGGAGCAATTGAATCTTTTCCTTCATGACGCTTCCGAGCTGACGCAGAAGCTCGTCAGTGCACAGTGATGTGTACACTCATCTCAGCTGATGCGTCCATTGCATCATTTTTGGGTCTGCATTGTTCACTTAGTTCTGGCCTGCACTGTATTGGCTGAAGATCGATATTGGTCAATTATTTAACAATCAGACTAACCATACAAACAGCTGTTTTCCTCCCCTTGTTTCTAGGTCTACTGTCAGTTTGTACTTGCATGACTGTACATGTACATGTGTATTACAATGTCATTTTGCAACTGTAGTTATAACAGACCATTTTCTAATGGTTATTTCAGTTTGGACAATGTTCCTGCTGTGACGGCACTCTTGTTCAGGGATGGTCTGACCATGGGATTAGGAACCAGTACAGGACATGTGAGTTCTAAAAACCACACACTGCTTTCTATAATACCACCAGTCTTGAACAAAATTATGCCTTTGTTTTAATTTTTTGTTTAATTTTTGGCTGTAAAACCAGCTGGGAGGAGAATGGGGAACACGATCATGGTGGCCTAGCTTCCACACCAAAAAGCACTTCCACACTCTTATCCTGCCAGCTTTGCTGATAGTGTCAAGTGTGTAGAACAATCACACGATCATTTGCTATTTTTGACAGGTTCTGCTGTATGATCTTCGCTCCACCAAGCCTTTGTTAATTAAAGATCACCAATACGGTCTGCCGATTAACAGTATTGCATTTCAAGACAAGCTTGGCGTTGTCTTGTCAGCTGATTCTAAGATTCTAAAAATCTGGGACAGAGAAACAGTGAGTATAGTTTCTTATCAAAACTAATACGTTTGAAGCTAACCACAACGGCCACCTTGGGGACAGACAAAAGTGGCCCTTTTGGAGAGGTGGCCGTTATGGTGAGGTAGGGGGTGTAAATAAGAATTTTGTTTTAGGGAGTACAGCATGTTTATTGCGACAAAACTTTGCGTAAAAACATTTTAAGAAATTTAAAAAAAAAAACATGACGACGTTACGACGTTCTCAGAGGTCATTATCAAGTCAGAAAATAGTGTATATACTCAGAGTGAGTCCATTAGTGCGAAACTCTTTGTTTAACTTGTAGCATATTTTGACTCGTTACTTTTCTTTTTAATGATCTATTATATTTTCTTGTTACGCTCTTGCAGCTTTGCTGCAGTACAAAAAATTGCAAAAAATTTTGAAAGAGGTTTACAAAAATTCGTTTCAAAATAGCGTTAAAAAGTATCGGTCCCCGACTTCCACAAAACGAAAATTATTTTTTTTTCACGTGAACAACACTCTTATCCCTTGGTTTTTTATGCCATAGGGGAAACCATTCACATCAATAGAACCATCTACAGACATAAACAATTTGTGTCTTTATCCTGATTCAGGTGAGAACTGCCATAACTTTAACATAAGTACATGTAAAGGGAATAGTTAGATGGTATCATTTGTGCTGTAGTGGTTATGTTGTACATGTACGTAAAATCGATTTAAGGTTCAATCAGTTTTCAGCCTGGTTTGATTTCAAATTTCCCTTGTTTCGTAGCCCTAATTATACATAGGAGAGAAAAGAAAACCTGGTTTAACCTGCGGAAGGATTTTACCCAGAACGGTTACCATGAAGCTACGTAACTGCCGTGGCAGTTTTGATGTTTTCCGGTTTTTCTTGGTCAAGAAAGTTCGCTTTAAAGTAATATCTCTCATATTTCTCTAAGTGAATTTATAACTCATAGTTCTATCCCTCCTATCAAGATACTTTTCCTTGCGTGTATGTCTAGTTTTTTGTCCATGCATCCTACAGCTGTACATAGCCATGTATTATGGCCGTACATCAACATGTACCATGTGCGTTGTCACTATGACTTGTTTGTTTAGCTCATTGTATATTGCATCGTACTTTTTCAATAGGTTTGGTGTTCATGGCAACTGAATCACCCAAAATGCTGATCTACTATATCCCGGTAAGTCTAAACTATAGTCCTTGTAAATACTCAAGCTTTTTTTATTTTCGATACTGTTTCAGTGTAGCTCAGTCTTCAAACTTTTAACTTTTAGTTTCAACTAATACTATAGATTAAAAATCCAACGGAAATTTTGTTTAAACCTCTGGGTCCTGTTTAAGTGTGTCTTTGACTAAGGACAGTTTGAAAAGGAGGTTACTAAAATCGGAAATCTGGGTTTCAGAACCATTTTTCCTTCGTTCTTTACGCTTCTTGCCGCTGCCTGTGAGCGGGAAGACCTCTGTCTAGCATCCAGGATATGGCTGGTACGGTCGAAAACGTGACCGGCGCGGTGTGAACACCATAACCGAATAAATTTTTACACGAACAAGGTGCGGATAAAGTAGCTTCGACAAAAAGCACAACATAAGCTTACGTCTTGTTTTGTTTTTCCCCTTCCGCTGTAGTTTCGCCGGCTCTCCACAGTTTTCTTTACCGACAGTGAAACAAACGAAACTATTCCACTCCATTTCTGAAATGTTTCTCACTTTTTTAACGAGAAAAAACTCTTTGAGAAAAACTTTTCTCCTCGAATGTGTGTGAAGCGGCGCTCAGCAACAGGGGCACCCAACGACAATTTTCGGAAAAATATCTGTTCGGAAGACGATTTAAGATCTAGAATTTTCGGAACATTTGTTGTAAAATTTCTTGCTTGCCTGCCTCTCCTAGGATTTTCGAACATCTAGGAAGTGGTAAAATTGCCCATTTTCAACGGATTTTTACCCTAAAAAGGTCACCTAGAATTTTCGGGAGCCTTTTTTCTGGCCGAAATTTTCGAACAGGTAAGTTTTGATCCCTATAATTTTCGGATCACTAGACTTTCAGCTCTAGGAAATCCGAACAGATGAAAAATTTATAGGGGATAAAAATATGCCCATATCCACCGTTTAAATACTAAAATACGTTTAACAATACTATGTTTAAGTGGTTTTGAACTATATTTTCGTTGGGTGCCCCTGCAGCAAGCTGCAACAAAATGCGGGAATTTTAGCGCGAAACTCACACACCTCTGTGGCTTCTTATTGGACGTATCATTTTTCTCACATGAGAAAAAACATCGTTCCCGATTCTGATTGGACGTATCATTTTTTTCACGTGTGAAAACCATAGTTCACACCTCTGATTGGCTAGAACTCATTTGCGTATCAAAATTCACAACACAACTTTTTGGTGAGTATTTCTCAGTATGTATATAATACATGGATACGTGGTAACTTAGTTGGGAGACACCATTTAAAATTTGCTAAAGTAACGCCACTGACAAAAGTTAAAGTTCACCCTCGTTCGTTCGTTCCGTGTGAACAATGCAAAGAATATTGAATGGTTCCGTGTGAACGAAGTGTCCGGTCAAATTTTTAAGCCGTGTGAACGTAGCTGGAAGTGACAGGGTTGCGTGTGTGAATAGAACATCCTAATGTTTGCGTTGTTGCAGTCTCTTGGTCCAGCTCCAAGATGGTGCTCATTTCTGGACAACTTAACAGAAGAGTTAGAAGAAGACCAGCAGCCAACTGGTCAGTGAATGTTTACTTAGCCTTGAAATCGCCATTTATAGTGGGGGTAACCCCAATTCTTTCTGCCACCTCGCAAGCAAATTGCAAGGTGGGACACTTATTTTGCGGGCAGAAATCCATCCCCCCCTCCCTCTTGTCAAACAAGCTTAAATCCTCCTTGCTGTCTGAGACGCAAATCTCTGTCAGCGAGTTTTGACACTTACTCTGGTACTAACTTTCCCTGTGAAAATTAGGACTAATACAAATTGGAAGCTCATTGTTGCCACATGGAGTTCTTTTGACTTACGTTGTTTGGTCATTGACCTGATTTTTCTCCAGTCCTGTACTAATTTTCTGCACATACACGTTAATCGCCCACAAGGCCGGATTTTATACCTTAATGTTTGTTCTTTATGTTTCTTTACAGTTTATGATGACTACAAGTTTGTGACTAAGCAAGACCTGGAGAGTTTAGGTACAGTGAAGCTATAGTATGGAATAGTTCTGAACTACTGACCGATCGTTACGTCTGTTTACTTAGCTCTATCGTTTCAATTTTTATTGTTATTCACATGGTACATGTATTTCATTAGGCATCGTGACACAGCTGTTAGCAGCTATCATTTCCAGTTTTGCCTTACAATAGCCGTGGCTAAATGACACCCTGTAAAACAATTAAATCACCTTTCTTCCGCCTCTTAATGACATTCTTGAGTGTGCACGTGTCGATTGGAATGTTGCTTTCCTTGGCCGTCACCTGCACTCTATTGGGGAGCCAACCACATCATAGGTATCAGCTACAATTAGGGTCATCCGCCGAGAAAAGCTGAGTTTCACTCAATAAGATTGCATTGTAATCTTTTAACTTTTAATCTTTTTGTATCCCCTAGGTCTGGCACATTTGATGGGTACCAACCTATTGCGGGCCTACATGCACGGATACTTTATAGACATGCGTCTCTATCACAAGGTAACCATGGTAATTCGTACTCGGAAAGTTTGAGTGTAGTTGTACACATTCTAGAGTATAGACGTATATACTGTCAGTTATTTACTGACAGCACTTGGTTGAAGTTGATGTTGACGTGGTCTGGATATTGGTGTTTCTTTTTAAATTTCTTCCCAGGCCAAATCTATAGCCGAACCTTTTGCATTTGAAGAATATCGCAAGAAACGCATCCAGGATAAGATTGAGGAGGAACGCGCCAACAGGGTCAAGCTAAAGGTCGGCAAAATTAAGGTGTCCTTTACTAGTATGTTCGTTTTAAAACGATGCTATATTCGCATTATCATGAGCGTTGGACACAGGTGGGAAGAGGTATATGTAATCAGATTGGAAACTAATACTTACACTGCTTTTTGTCTTTTGCTAGAAACTTCCCAAAGTAAACAGAAACTTGGCGGAAAAACTGATAGAAGAGAAGAGGGATACTAAGAAACATACGGTTTCGGTATGTTATTGTAATCTGCACTCTATGTCTTCTTTTTCTTCTTCTTTCAAGAAACCCCCACCTCCTTCAAAAATGAAGATTCTTGTGTCAAAGAGTGTGAGAGTATATGTAGAGTCATTCACGTAGACGTGTGGGATTACATGTAGATGTAGATTACATGTTTTCCGTTTTCAGTTCATATTTAAAAGGTTATTTTCAACTGATTTAAAACGTTGACACCCTTTTCGGCATAGTTTTTAATATTTTCGAAGTCGTTTGCATTGCTGACTCGGGCCCTGTCCACACTTATCCGTCTTGGTTTGAAAACCACGGAGATTTTTTTTCCTCCGTTTTCAAAAAAATACGCGTCCACACGTAGCGTATTCGAATCGTTTTAGCCCGTCCATACGAAAACGCTAAACAATGGAAATACGATAGCACCCCTCACAGAGTATGCATTATGCTAGTAGTATGTATAACATCATCGTATTCGAAAACCTCCGTTTTCATCCGTCCACACGTAAACGAGCGGCCAGCGTTATCTACACTCCAGGGAGCGTTTTTGAAAAGATGCGTCTTCGGTGACCGTTTTCCCGGAATGCGTGTGGACGGTAGGCCAAACCGGAGGAAAAAATCTCCGTTTTTAAACAAAAACGGAAACGTGTAGTCGGGGCCTCAGACTTTCAAGTATTTGCCTTTATTATTCCGAGTTGTTTACGTGTGGCTTTGCTTCGTTTTTCAGTCTTCTGACGTCAGCAATCCTTTGGGAGATGACAGATTCTCGGCCATGTTTTTGAACCCAGACTTCCAGGTGGACGAGGAAAGTGAGGTAAAGCGAACTTACACCGCTCCAGTGTTCTATAATATTTATCAAGATACTCTTAATCTAAGAATGTTTTTTTGCGCTCTAGAAACTCAAAAGCTCTGAAAAAAAAAACGGTCGATTATGGCCGGCGCTAAATTGCCATCCGACTATGGTACCATTATTGATAAGAGGTTCAGAAAATCAAGATAAATTTCTCCCAAGAATAGCGGAATTCAAAACGTGCCCGTTGCCCGTTGCACAACCTTTTATGACATACATGTATGAAAATGAGTGTGAATTAAAATTCATCTTCATATACAAGGGTGAGTACCAACAGTGGTTTTTGAAAATGAGGCTAAAGATAAATCGGCGATAGCTTGATGTCTCTTTCATGGAGCCCGTTGAGAAAAGGTCAAAATAACTGGATATTGCTCCTTAACTTAGCACAACTAACAAACGTACCACACTTAAAAGGACTGACCTTTTCAGCGTTACCTTAGAGTCCTTATTTTAGAGGGCGTCGTCCATTTTCATCATGTACAAATCTGTGAGGCCTTAATTCTTTATCTTTTATGTTACCTCGCACCTCACCAGCCTGCGCGTAGATGTCTCATATTTCCACTGCGCACGCGTTTGCACCCCGAAAGTCAATAAAAACCGTTACGTTGATGGTAAAATGGTATAAAACACGAAGAAAGTTTTCTCCACGCCTTATCTTTTTGGATGGTGAAGGGAGACAGAAATTTTGCCTCTTTAATCTTACTAATTTCATCTGTTAAGGTAAATAGAAACCCTTGAAGAATTTTATGTAACTGCAAGTGAAATTGTCCTTATATATTTTTTTGAAGGAATACAAACTTCTTCATCCAGTGGTTTCCAAGCATGAGAGAGAAAAACAAAAGCGGCAGAAGGAAAAGCAGAAGTTACTGGAGCAGTTCGATGAAATAGAGGTCAGGGCTGGAAAAATTAATGATATCTTCAGTCCGAAAAAAATAACTCACTTCCTTGTACCAAGGAAGAGTAAAAAGTATTCTGCCTAATTATTTTAAAGCATTCTTAAATGGGCCTTTGAACATTACAAAATTGAAAGTTTAACAAAAAATGATAACTGAAGATTTGTTAGGCAACCATAACCCTTGAAGCAGCCCTAATACCAGCGTTTATGTTCTCCGCGCCATTTTCCACATTTTAAATTTAGATATTTTATCTGATTAAGCTATTTTAGTGAAAGGAGAAATTAGATTCCTCACTGGTCACTGTTAGGTTTACTAATTAAATAATCCCGGAACTCTCACTACTGGTTACTGGACTTCATGCTTCGAAAGTACAATTAGATTTTCTTATTCTATAGGCGAATCTTGCTACATTTCATTTTTGCTGATAAGAATACGAAATATTGGGACATCGTCCTATATAAAAGTTAAGGTCAAAAGTTGAAAGAGCTCGTCAACTTGAGCAATATGTGTAATTTTAAGCTCTTCCAAGCAATATCAAAGGAAATGGCAGGCATCGAAAACTTCGAAATTGCTGTTTGGTAAAAACATTAAAGAGCCCATATATTTTTGTAAAATTTCGATTTTATGGAGATTATCTCCAAAATATTCGGTATCTTGGGCTAAAATTTTCAGAGACAACTAGTATGGTTATGCTCTTTAAATATTCAATCTTATTTTTGTAATGGCTTGATCAGAAAATTATAAGATTATATGTAAATGAGCCAAGGAATGTAAACAAATTTTCACCCATAGGAACCGGAGGGTATCCCTAGTGAGGAGGAAGAAAGCAGCAGCTCAGAAGACGAGAGGGAATGGCGCAAGGAACTCAAGAGACAGAGCAAAGAAGCTAGAATAAATGAAGAGAAACAAGCTACCAGCAAACCAAAGTTTTACGAATTAAAATCAGGCGAAAACTTTAAAACCATAAAGTCTACCAAAGACGTGTTGACCTCAAAACAAAAGAAGTAAGTATGACACGAGAATCTTTGGCCAAATCGCAGATCCTGGGTATATTTTTCCAAACCCTGATTAGAGGATCATGCCTCCCAATAAATGGCGGACGAATATATTTTTCACCTGATCAATCAATTAATCAATCAATTTATTTAAAGTCATTGCGTGGGATTGAGGTTGCCCTCAGTATCCGCGCCAGGGGCTCCTGTATGAAACGCATGACAAAATGTCGTGTCCGGAACTCGTCTCAGTGATAAAGCCTGGGTACGAGATTTATTTTTCACCTCGCGTTTTGTGATCTTGCCGTCCCGGTGAACATGTGTCATATGCAAACGAAAACTCAAATCTAGTGCAACTGGGAGGAAGCAGCAACGCAAGAACCGGAAAAAAATTCCATTTTCTTACGTTTGTTGTCTTGCGCTTGAGTTTTGGACACGTGTGTGAACCAGTTACTTATGAACAGTTACGAAACTTAGCTTATTTTCAGTAGGAGCAATTATTTATCATCTGTTTCCCTTTTAATCGAAATAGCAATCTGATACTAAGGTCGCTGTGAACACTTAGTTACACTATAATCAGGTCAAGTTAGCCATGTCATATTATGTTCGGTACTAATTCTTAGTGCATAAAATTCAATTTCCCACAAAGTCAAAATGGGAGTGTTTTGTTTTGTGTGTGTAGGGTATCCCTTGGTAAACGTCTTCAGCATGAAGAGAGTTCGGGTGTGATCCGATCAACAGGTTCATCCTCGGGTGAAAAGGAGATTACTTTTCAAGTAGAGAAGGTAAAAAAAGGACATCTGTCTCAATTTAACGTTACTGGTTTAACCAATTTTTATAACGATTCTCTTAAAGATTGAAATGTACTTGCTTAACCTTGTACCTAATGAAAACAGTCATTTTAAATTATTGTTTTGTATGGAAAGACAAATACAAATTGCAGCAGTATTTTAGGATACTGTAGCAGTTTATTGCCCTTAAATGAAGAAGGGCGTAATTGATTTTTTCTTTAATTCACTGGTATTTTTTACTGTCGTTCTTGAGTTATTGTGGTGTGGGGTAATTGTGTGAACGTAATATCCTAAGCGATCATGGTTACTTTTTGATAAAGGCCAGAGTTTAAGCGAGACTTGGCCTGAAACAGCTTTTAATGCGGAATTTTAATAAGAAATAATAATTGTTTTCTAACTGCATGCAACCACGTTTTCTTTTTCCCGCCATGCATCACGCGTCGAAATAAGCGACTCTATTGCATTCATCACAATTATTGTTTTCTTTGTAGAGTAACAAAGAGACAAGGAGAGATGAAGAAATTCGTGCTCATGTCAAGGAACGGAAAAAGCTTCGTCGATCAGCTAGTAGTGTTCTGGGGAATGAGAAACGAAAACCAGTGTTCTGGAGAGGGAGGAGGGTTAGATAACACGAAACTACGGCCACAGTGGAATTGATAAACTTGTACTCTCCTAGGAAAAGAAAACCGGTCGGGTGTTCTGGAGAAGGAAGAGAGTTCGATGACGGCGTACTCGAAGTGGTGTGACAATGAGATTGATCAGCTTGCAGCAGTTTTCCTGGGAACGAAAACGGAGTAGTGGTTTTTTTGAAAAGTATAGTTCGTTGATGCGAACATTATTTTTTGTTAATAACTCGACGTAAAGATCTGATCAACCGCTGCCTCAATCGTCGCAGAGCATCAAAGTGTGTATAAGAATTATTATGAAAAGTGGTTTTGAACTGTGCATGCAGTTGGATTGAGTGGGAAAAAAAGAAAGAAAGAGAAAAGGAAAGAAACAAGGGGGGGAAAGTAAGAGCACCCTTCGTTAATTACTGGTCGTTGCAATCCTCCTAGACACATCAGAGACCACAATGCAAAACTGCAGTGCAGTGAGAAACTTTAGCTCCTGACAGTGATGGATTTTCTCAGTCTTTGTTTTATACCGATTGTAGCACTCATTGTGAAACTAGATTAATAGATTGTACAAAGTGTGAGCATTTGTTTCTTGTAGACAAATAGATGACATACAAACTAAACACACCCAACTTACGTCATTTCTGTCGAACTCCTTTAATACGAACGCTGAGCTAAGGGGACCAGAACGTGTCCATATATTAACAGGGTATCCGTAATAAGCAGGTCGTAAACGCCTTTTATTGGAACAAAATACTAAAGAACTAAAACATGACATAAGCATCGTTAAACTAATCTCTAACTTATACAAAGCGATTATTCTATGGAGAGCTTAAGCAACGACTACGCGACGACGGTGAGGGTAAAAGGAACATGAGTTTTGAGTAACGAATCTGGTTTGTAGGTCGGGGTTTGACCCTGGGATGCGATCTTTTTTCATTTTCACGTGAACAGTAGTAACTAACAATGCATTTGACATATGCAAAACTGCTAGCTATTGTTATGCACGAAAATATGAAATTTGGAGACAATACCCCTGAATAATGAGAGGCTCTCACTTGTAAACACAAAATTTCTGACAAAATGTTAGCGAATTCAAGCCCTTATTTTACTGCCTTACAATATATCAATAATCTTGAAACTAAGAGGTCATATAAAAGGAGGGTTAATCTCAAGATTCTTAAATTTTCTAAAAAATTTATCGAGCGGTTTAAAAATTATTCGCTAATTTGTTAAAGTAGACCGAAATGTTTACATTTCCGCTAACAAGAGTGCCTTGATACATACTAATCAAATCCTCCTTTCTAGCAATCGGCTGGAGGTATCTCCATGATCTTTCACACACGTTTTTAAAAAGATTGAAACTACTATGAGGTGAAATTGCATGTCAAAAGCGCTTCGTTTAGTACAGATAACAGTCGAACATCAAGATTGTCAATTTTTTACCGTATTTCTAACCAGAAAAACTTCATCCCAAAATATCTCGATAACGCTCTGACAGATTTCGCTTAAACTTCACGAACATCGAGGCAGCTATCGTAGGTAAAAGCTCCAGTAAACGATTTTGGAAGAACAGTTCCCAGTGCCGAGAAATACTGCTGGAAGTAAAATAGGTAATGGCGTCATTTCGTTGCTATGACAACTCCGATGTCATTGCTACCCTGATCATAACCAACTTTCTTCTTTATCTAATACACACTGTGGTGTTAATTTTTCCAAATCTTTGTTTATGGCGACGCAATTTACGCTCAAACTTGGGAGGTATTGACCTTGAAAAACTATATCGAGCCACCTTAAACCGATGCACTATCCAGATTTTTTTAAGCTTGGCACAATTAACGGTCATGAATACATTTGTCTGCAATACCGGTGCAGCTTTTAATTTGTACCAATTAAGCTGTGACCCGAACCTATTTATATGCGTGTAGCCTGTGTATAGACGCTCCCATCCCTGGAAAAAAAAAAAAAAGAACCGGAGTCGCCTTCCCCTGATTTTTTTCTTAATAAAGAATGGTCGAACTTTATGAAAATCCGCTTCTATATTTTTGGGTATTCTTATCCAAAGCTTTGTTACAAACATCAACTGAAATCAATGCAAGGTTTTGCTTGGTATAGTAATAAATTTGTTATGAAAATGTTTTGAAGGCAGTTTCAGTATAGGTGTTCAAGTGGAAACGTGTAGTCAGAGTCAGAGTTAGTCGATTTATATGAATAAATCCTAACAACCGATTGGCTGAATAAGCTCAAAAACTTGACAGATCTCAAGCCTAAGCCGAACTTTTCATGAGACGAACCAAACTGTAATTTGGGTCGACCTAAAATAAGTTAAGATTGTCTGTTGGGTAACATGGTTCGTACTGAACAACTTCAGACACAAATTTCAAGGACTTTTCAAGGATTTTTCAAGGACAAAGTACAATTTTTAAGGACTAAGATTCACTTTATAAATCGGCATTCTTTAACCACCTTTGATCACCTGCACCCTGTTGGCTAAAACACGTCCTGAGACTTTGCAAAATGACTAGGTATGACTTGCAGTAACTTGAGGTACAGAAATAGCATTTGAAAAAAAGAATCAGAAATAAAATATTGTTCATGCACAAAAATGTTTTTACGTTACTCGTGAATTTTATAGGTTCTTACACCCAGGATGAGCCAAATTTGCCTTGGCAAAATAATCTAATTTTACAGAAAAAGGTGTCTGGCGTACACAAGGTTGTGAATTTCAAGGACTTTCTAAGACCGATTGAAGAAGTCAGACAAGTACTTTTCAAGGACCTTAACCGAATTCAAGGACTTTTCAAGAAGATTAGTAAAATTCAAGACCTTTTCAAGATTGTACGAACTATGGGTCAGACGTCTAATTTAGGACGTTTTGAACTAATCAGGTAACTGAATCAGACCTCAGAAATAAATTTTCTTCCGAACGAGCTGAGGATAAACGTACATTATCATAGAAAATTTTAATTCATTAGTTTAGTTTGTCGCATGTGAAGGTCGACGTTTGTCCCAGAGACGATCTTCAAACGTTCTATCCGTCTGAAGCAGACGGATGGAACGCGCTGGACGATCTATGTAAACTCATAGAGACGTACGAACTTAACTGAGCCAGACGTCGAACTCTTTATGAACTAACTAAGTTTGGTTCGTCTCATCAAAAGTTCGAGTTTGGCCCAGCTGGCCTCATACGTAGATAGATAGATAGATGGATGGATGGATGGATGGATGGATGGATGGATGGATGGATGGATGGATGGATGGATGGATGGAT